AATAGGCAGTAAGTGGAGGGTGTATGAGATCAAGAAATTTTTGTTCCCCTCTTCTGGCACTGGAGAGGTGGAGCACTCTGGGATGCTGGAATAACTCAGTATTGAGGGAAGAGTACGCAGTTCAGGTGAGAGGGGAGTCTTCCACAGGGAGAAAGGGTGCTCTCAGAGCCACTATGGAAGGCTTAGAGACCTCTTCCACACCAACAGAAGACGCAGAAGGATACACACAGTCCCGGGTCAAGGCGGGGATGGAGGAGAATTCTATACGTATTGTACATGTTTTCTCACTGACAGGACAGCAGGGTATCAGCTGCTAGGAAGGATGGGGAGGGGTCTAGGAAGCCTCATAAAGGAGCAGGGCCAGCACCAGGACAAGACAACATTGTCTGGGGTCACACGGCCTCTCTCGGAGATCCCGTGACCTCATCTGTGTAGCGATAAGAATCGTAGCCTGAGCCTCTGAATTCTCTAGGAACTGTGCTGGAGTTACCATGCGTAGACTATCCCCTGCAAGTGTGACTCGGGCATTGTTGCTGTTGCTGTTTTGAGGCAACGGCTCATTCTGTCACCCAGGCTGGCCTTGAACTCACAGCAATCCTCTGGCCTCAACCTCTCAGCTTCTAGGCATAAGCTATACTATCCAGCTGCAAGTTTTTTTTTTTAATTACAATAAATCACAGTGTCTGGTAGCATACATCTGCAATTCAAACACTTGGGAGACAGAGGCAAGAGGATGAATGCAAGTCGCAGGTCAGGGAGCTGAGGGGCGGTCTCAGAGGAGACTCCAAGAGTGAGCTGCCATTGTTAACTGAGTGGAGGTGAGATGTGGAAGGAGGTGAGAGGCAGTGTGCTCAGAGGATGTCTGTGATGAATGCTAGCCAAGAGCTGCTGAGGAGGGTGTGTGTGGGCAGACTAGGGCAGAAGCGAGAGTTTTAAAACTGAAAGGCTGGAAGAGACCCAGGTACCAAAGGACGAGGTCAAGAGTACAACGGAGGGTATGGGAGGCTAGGTGAGTGGCCCCAAGGCCTCGGCAATAGAGGTGGCAGTGAGCCAGTTGAGTTCTTCACACAGCAGGGGTAGCATGGGGGGGGTGGTTATGGTGACCTGTTGTGGGTTTGTGGGGGACGGAGGACAGAGATCTGGAGGATGTAAAGGAGCAGCTTCTATGTCTCGGCCAGGAAAGAGAAGGCTACAAACAGGTTCTCTAGGAGACCAGGCATTCTAGAGCAAGGTGAGAGGGATGTAGGGGAGAGGCTGTTGAGGACAAGGGGTTGTTGGTGATGAGCCAGGATGTTTAGGGCACGATGAAACAGTGAGGAAGAGAGGAAGGGAAAGGCCAAGCTTGCCTCCCCTCCCAGGAGGCTCTGGAGGCCCAGGCGCAGTGTCCACAATGGACCAGCAGAGGGCACCCACTACAATGCGTGAGAAATCTCAGCCTGAAGACGGGAGGCAGAGCCCATGCCACAGGCACCCAGCTTTGTCTCCGGACTCCATGGGGGTGACCTAAGCACTGCAGATCTGTGGTCCAGTTGTCATGGCTGCCGCATGCTGGGTGCAGTGCATGGCTCAGTCGGGGTGGCTGGGGTGGAAGCGTGTGTCTTCAATGTCTCTTGAGGCCGAGACAAGGCATTGTCTTTCCTGAGATTATAGAGAGTCTGGAAGACTGGGGACAGAAGAGGGTTTTGACCACAGCCCTGTGCAGAGAGTAATGCCTTTACACACACATGCACACACATACACATGTTTGCACACACAGGATCTTCTTCAGGCTCCCCACAACCCCTGGACAACTTCTTTTCACCCTGTCCTGAAACCCCTTGCAGGCCATTTGGAGAAGATGTAACTGAGGAGTGCTCTCCCTTTTTCCCATCCCCCTCCAAGCATGCCCACATTTCTTTCATCCCCTAAAATCAAAACTAAAACAAACAGGATAAAAGTTTCCTCTGTCTCCTCAAGTATCATAGACGCTGGGTCGCAGCTCTAAAAAAGATGGTAGAGAGTCTGGTGTTTGGCTTGAGGTGGTGACCAGAGCTCCTGAGAAAGACAGGATGGATGCCTGTGTGTCTGGAAGGGTGTGGGTGAGCCACCCTGCAGCCCCTCAGCTGCTCCTACGGCTCAGTCCACTCCACAAGCTCTGACCAGAATTCCTTATGCCGTGCTTCTTCTCCCCATGGTCCAGGATGCCCAAAGCAGAGCACCGGATGTGTGGCAGCCTGTGAGAGGTCAGCTTCTTCAGACTGTGCAGGGACCTGCAAATGCCCCAGATGTCTGTCACCTCTTCCCTCCTATGACTTTACACTCAGGAGCGGCCTTCCACTGGACGCGGTGGATCTACGCGGAGGCAGAGGCCAGCAAACACACAGGCCTGGGCACGGGGGGTGGGGGGGCAGTGACAGTGGCCATAGTGGGAGGTGAATCGTGGGGAAGGGGCCTTGCGGAGGGGGGAAGAACAGACCCAGGTTTCAGTCCCAGACATCTATCCCATCTCTACTATTAACTGTACAGTGTTTCCATGGCACCCACTTGCCCACTCCCAGCCTATTCCCTCGTCAACAGAACGGTGACAATAACTCCAACCTCACCAAGGGGAGGGGGCAGATGAGAGAGCAGCCGGGGAAATGCTTCAGGTGCCACCGCACTGACTGGACTTCACATCCATCGGCCAGGCACGGAAGGACGGTGTGCATGTCAGGTGGCGGCGGCACAACCCTGTGAACACCCAGCCCTGTCCCCAGGCTGGGGACATGGATCTGAAGGACCCCAAGGGCATGGACACGTTGGCATCAGGTGCGGCAAGGTCTAGGGTTGCGGGAAGGAATCCCCAGCATCCAGGTTCCCTGGGGCAATTGGCAGGGAGGGGAGAACTGCTGTGAATGAGAAGGCTTCCAGCCCTCCAGGCCAGGGCGCTAATGATGCGGGGAAGCCAGCCAGCTGAAACCCTGAGCCAAAACCACCCAACCATCGGCCAGCCTACCCTCCACTGCCGGAAAGAGAAACTGAGGCTCAGGAGGACTTCTCTGGGATCCAGTCTCCACTCGGGCTGGAGGATGGAGGGAGCTCCTGGGAAGGAGGAAGGCCCTGGTGTAGATGTGGGCGAGAAGCAAGGCCTCAGGCCCAGGCCTTGGCCCAGGGTTCGAGAGGCAGAGGGAAGGAGAAAGGTAGAGCAGGGGGAAAGCGGGCCCACTGGGGTTCACCAGCTGTCTAGGCTGGTCTGAACCACTCTAAGTGACAAGCCACAGGGCGGGTGGGTAATGTATTGTCACCACCAGATTCGGCCCTTGAATGCTGCTGCCATCTGTCCCTGGGGGCTTGTGTCCCCCACATCCCACAGTAACCTGGTCATCTGTCTGTCCATAGCCCAGCTTCTGCAGGACACCTATCCCAAGTAGCCCATAGTGCAGACTGGCACCCACGGCAGTAGCCATGCAGAGCAGTGCCATGGCTGTCCCTAGTATGTTCCCCAAGGAGAGAGTCACTGGCATCTCTCTCCCCTCTGTCCCCTCCACTTTCCTGTGCTCTTCCCCAGGGTCACTTTCACAGGACAGCCCGTGTTTGTTATGAGAGGAGCCGACAGGGTAGCTCGCTGCATGCCTGTGTTTACAGAGAACACACTGCCAACACCACCTGTCAGCCCCACCTTTCAGGCCCCACAGCACCTGGCACGCTGGCTGTGGAGATGCCAGGGGCCTGGTCTCGGGTAAAGACAATGTGTCCTTGAAGGGTTGGGTGATCGTTTCAGAGCCTCAGGGCACCCCTGTCTCCCTGGAACCCTCATGTCTGCTACGGACCTCCCAGGATCGGGATCACACCCTGCTGTGAGGACACTTTCAGCCTTAGTATCACATGCCTCATCCATGGGGCACTTGTTCTTCAAGTGAAGAATTTGTTCTTCAAGGTGCCAACAAGTGACTGGATGGGAGGTCCTTCCTGGGAATCTGATGTTTTGCTTAGTTAAAAAAAAAAAAAAATAGAATCACTATTATTTTCTAAATATAAACCTTGTTCTCATTATTTATACATTTTCTCTTAAAAAAAAACTTTATTACATGAAAATGGGAAGGAAAAATCACACGTAAATGGAATCCCTTAAAACTTTTCTATTCATTTCTACACACATCGATATTTATGGGCTCATACTCTGTACCTATTGGGAGTGCATTTGGCCACAAGTACATTAGCTTAAAGAGAGAAACAGACTTTTCTTATTTAGGTGGAGTGTTTAAAGATGCTAATTAGTCCACTGGCTCAGCAGTGTCAGACCTAGCCTTTCTATGGTTCTCTCGGAACTTTCCTCATGGCTACAATATGGCTGCTGCAGCTCCACCCATTGCATCCATGTTTGAGACCACCAAAGGCAGTCACTTCTACTTTACTCTTGGGAAGCCAAAGTGTTTTTCAGATATGACCCCAGCTGGTTGTTCTTTAGGGCTCCTTTGATCTTGTGGACATACAGTGGAATAATCTTTCTGTACACTGTGAAGATGTATTGCTCTCATTGTTAATAAAAAGCTGATTGGTCAATAGCTAGGCAGGATTTTTCAGGGCAGAGAGAACATTGGGAAGAAGGAGAGCAGAGTCAGAGAAGTCTCGATAGAGCCAGATGCAGAAAAGGCAACATGGAAAGTTCATAGATGAGGTAAACGAGCCTCGGGTCAGCACATAGATTAATAGAAATGGGTTAATTCAAGTTGTAAGAGCTGTGTGGAGACCAAGGCCAAGCATTTATAAGTAAAAATAAGTCTCTGTGTGGTTATTTGGGGAGCAGCTGGCAGGACAGAGCTGATCAGTGGTCTAGACGGAAAACTTCACCTACACAGATATTCCTAGCAGCAAATAGAAGTGTCACATGTGCCTTTGAACCAATGTGCATGTGATTGCCACAGCAACATCAAGCGGAGAGAGAGAACAGTCTCCCGTGGTGTGTGCTGTTTTATAGCTTGTTCCCTTTCTCGTAATTCTGTACTACCAAATTGATCCACAGCAAGAAACACACCCAGTCACTCATTTAATAATGATTTATTGAGAACACGCTGCATTCTGGGACCCCTGCTGGGCGCTGTGGGTGTAACAGCAAACATCGTGGAGCCCCGCTGTCATGGGGTGTAGGGCTTAAGAAGCACACAGAAACTACAGGAGAAACGCACAGAGGGTGTGTGGCTTCGGTTTTACCGTGTGGCACAGAGGAACAGGTCCGGGCTTGATTCAACCAGGATGGTCACCACATTGAGTGGAGGACCACAAAGTTGGACGGAGGGTCATTGTGTCGCGGGGGAGTCACTGTGTTGAGTAGAGGTTCGCCATACAGAGAGAAGCCTCACCACGTTGAGTGCAGGGTCGGTCTGCTGAGTGGAAGGCGGCCGATTTGAATGGAGTGTCACTGTGGTGAGCGGTGGGTCGCTGTGTTGAGGAGATAGATCATCACCGTGTTGAGTCATCCGGTTGAATGGAGAATCGCCACTGAGTGCCGGTCGTGACGCTGAGTATCTGTAGAGTCCTCTTCCTGGGGTGGGATTGTTCCAGCAGCCTCTTGCTGTCATTTAGATCTTAGTATGTTTTAGCGTTATCAGTCAACACCCTCTGAAAGTCCATCTTAACACACTGCCCGATTACTTCCTTAGGCTACATTTCTATTGTAAGTTATAGTTCCCGGTGGGGGTGTCGTCGCTGGCTCAGGGTGGGGGTGGGGGAGAGGGGGAGGGATGGGGGAGGGGTGGCGCTGGGGGGTGGCACTGCTGAGGCTAAAGCTCACACTTTAGACTTGCTCTCCCCAGAACACCCACCCCTTGTCCTCCAAGACAGAGCCAATCCCCTGCCTCATCTCCAACACCACTTTCTGTCTCACTGTTCTTTCCAAAACGTCACCGAGCTGCCGGGCAGCATTATGTCTGGTTATTTCCGGTTGCGTTCCTATCGTGTTACCGGAGCTGACGGCCTTTCAGTTCTTTCCTTATGAGAGTTTACCTCTGTCCTACTGATGGCTTCCTCTCCTCTGTCAAATCGCCCCCACACAACACACACACGCACACACCACCACCACCACCACCACTACACCACACACACACACAACCACCACCACCACCACCACCACCACCACCACACACACACACACACACACACACCGCCACCACCACACCACACACACACACACACACACACACACACACCACCACCACCACCACCACACCACACACACATACCACCACCACCACACCACACACACACACACACACACACACACACACACACACACACACACACATTCTGTTACATATGTTATGAAATCCCCTCCTTCTGTGTCCTTGTCAAACTAACCCTCTGGCTTTCCCTGGAACACCCGAACTTCCCAAATCCAGTCCTGTCTCCCCCATTCTTCCATCCTCTCCTGTCACCCTCCATGCCTGTCCCTAGCCGGGGTTTCCATCTGCTTCCGGGCCAGTCTGGGATGTGAAGGATGACTTTCCCCGGGCCTCTGCACAAGCAGGATTCCATTGAGTTCCCACCAGGGAACACCACCTACAGAACAGATGTGTGCCTGGAACAGACCTTGCTCACTCCCTTTGCTCACTCCCCTTAACCTCCTTCCTGCTCACTCTCAGGCAAGTTCTATCCTTCTATGCCTCCCTCGGCTCGTCCCTGAGCCCTCAGAGAGCCATCAGCTCATTCTGCCGCTGTCCCAGGAGAGTGAAGATCCCCTAACAGGCCAGGGCCAGCCACGTTTCTGTCCTCAGGACCTGGTACAGAGGTGGCACCTACCAGAAGTTTAGAGAGTCTTTATAGCCAGAATGAATGAACAAGTGAATGAATGAATGAATGAATGAATGAATGAATGAATGAGTGAATGAGTGAATGGAATCTGTCCATTCCTGCCCGCTAGGCTTGTGGGCAGACATCTAAAGCTTGCCATTGCTACTTAACCTCTGGCCTCACTTTGCTCTCCTCTTCCCGGGTCTAAGTGCAAACGATGCACAGCTTGAGAACTTGCGTCTTCTACAGGGCACTGGAGCTGTCGGGCCTTCCTGGGACCCTGAGTTAGCTCTGGGTCATCCCTGAGCTGTACTTGGCCTGAACCAGGGCTCTGGTGTCTTGGGGAGAAGCCCTGGGCTCTGCTATGTGGGTTGGCTGGGCCTGTGATAAGCAACAATGATCTGGGACCACAGCTCCAGAGCCTTCAGGCCTGACTGGGCATCCAGTGAGGGCTGCCAGGACATAAATCTCCATGGGCAGTCAGTGCTGACCCCAGGGCGCAGGCATCCTCGGGTCACCAGCGTGTCTTGGGTCCCTTTTACGCCTGTTAACAATATGGGTCTTCAGCATTCCTTTCCTCTGCTTCTGAGTGTCATCAAGTCCCCTGGCTGTTAAGACCAAATCCGGCTCTGTGCAACAATTCAAGGAGCCCAGACCATAACAGCATGCCTCTCTGACCTTGACTTCCACCACTCCAGGCATACCAGTTTCCTCGGGTTTGGGGACACCCTTCCTTTCCTTCCCGGAGCTAGCCTCTGCCATGCCATCTGTCTGTCTGAGATCCCGTCTCTCCTTTGTCCCTGTCTAGGTCCCAGCTCGTGGTCCTTGACAATCCAATCAAAAAAGACAAAACACAGAAGCATCCATTCCTCCGGAGTCTCTAGCTTGCTCATTCAGAATGGAGATGGGGGGGAGGGCCGGGGTCCCTAACTCACCAGGTTCATGCCCTGCATTTGGAAATGCTGGTGACAGAGTTGGAGTGCCAGCCTCGTGCCTCCATTGAATCCTAGTGTCTAGGTTCTGCACACAGTCCGCTCATTTCTGCAGGTAAGGAGAGTGACGGTAAGCATGGTTGGTGGAGGGCTCACTGGCACCGTGCCCATGCCACCCACCCTATATACAGCATCCCATTTAATCATTACAGCGTGCCCCTGATGTCTGTGTTACTGCCTCCACTTTATAGATAAGGACAATTCAGTCCAGAAAGATGAAATGTCTCAGCCATAGTCACAGGTCAGATGGAAGCCCAGCCCCACACTCAGGGCTGATGCTCTAAAGCTGGCCCTCCGTCCCAAGTTGGGAATCATTGTACCTGTGCTCGTAACCTTCAGAGTGGGCACCTGGCTCCCTCCAGCTCCACTCTGTCCCACAGAACGGCTGTTCTCACTTTCCTGAGCAAAAGGGTGGAGGGGTGGGAGGAAAAGGCTCCTAAAGACTTCCGGTCTCAGGAGCAGAGATGGGTAATCACCGAACCAGCCCAGGGAAGTGCAGGAACAGAGCCATGCACGGCTGAAAAGGGTCTCGAGGACAGCTTGCTAAGGGGATGCGTTCTGCCCTGGCAGGGGGCAGGCTGGTTCAGAGAGTCCAGGAGCAGATAGAGAATTTGAGCCAAGCCTGGAGGGCTGGAAGAGAAGGGCATCCAGGAGCAGGCGTACCCAAACCCAGGACAGCACGGAGGTAGGTCTGCGGTGCTGGACAGGCTTGACATAGCGAATGACTGATTCAACGGCAAAGGGCAGTAGAGGTCACATGATGAAGGCCCGTGAGGCCAGGCTAAGGACTCTGACCTTCGACAGCATACAATAGGGAATCACGGGAGGTGGGAGTCTCCCTCTTCACGGCAGTAAGTGGGCACAGGTGGGCGCGTTCCGTGTGGCCTGACTGGCTAGTCTGTCTTCTGTGAATAGCCTGGGGCTGCAGGCACCTCCAGTCAGGAGTTGAAGATCTTACAACTAGATTTCCTCGCCTCCAGTTAGCTTTCCTCTGGAAAAACGGACAATGATTCAGCCTCTCTGAGCCTCAGTTTCCCATCAAATGGGGAAATGCAATCTGGCAGGCTGTAAGGGTCAGAGGAAATCGTGCGGCACAGCAGGGCAGGTGTGTTTATCGAGTCCTATGACTCTGTGGACAAGATGGCCCTGGGGGCCACTCAGAGGACCTGCGCTGGGGTCCCAGCTTGGCCCCTGCAGCACCAATATCTCAGGGCTAGCAGGAGACCTGGGAAGCAGGCATGGCCTCTGAGCAGGCCTAGAGAGCAGGGCCACCACGCACCACGTCACCTGTAAGGCACAGGTCTCTCGTTCTTGTTCTTTCTCTTCCTGACTCCTGGGAGGCTGCAGGAACCTCACAGGCACCCGCCTCTCCCTCAGGAGACGCCCTGCACAGCTCCATGCCGCTCACTGCTAGAACACCTCTGGCATACATACTCAAGCTTCGCCCCTGTGGGAGTTTTTACACTCTCTCCCTCCTGAGTCACCGGTTGCCTTGTTGAAGAGCGAGACGCAACCGATCCTTCTTCACTAACGAGGACACGGGAAGGAAGCCTGACACTGTTTGAATACCTGCGATGTGCAGGGGGTACCGTATCTGTTTGTCCATCTCACCCACAACTCCAACCATTGGGATTATCTTCACGACAGGAGTGCAGACAGACAGCGACTTGCTCAAGTCTGTAGAGCAAGGACCTGGCAGAAGGATGAGTGTGAACCCAGGTCCGTTTGTAGCTCAGAGTCTGAGATTTAGGACATTGGCCATGTGTGGTCAACAGACTGCCCCCTCCCAGGGCTTTTCTGAGAACCAGATGGGATAAAGGGTGTGAGTGTGCCCAAGGATGGGGAACGGAGGTGCAATCTTGTCTGTCATGTGGAGAGAAGGTGTATAGGAAGGATGGCAGGGTGCCCAGGTCACAGCAAACCATTAGCAGGCCAGTGCTCAAGGCCCTCAGGACGACTGCCTGCCCATGCCACCCCTCCCCAGGGACTTCCTCTCTAGAATGGAAACTCCCAGAGTCAGACAGGGAGAGCAAATGCCAGGACTTTCTGCCCCTTGCACGCAAACCAGGACCTGGGGCTGGAGGCTGTAATCCAGAGTATGACACCCACCGGGCTCCTCTAGCCCCTTCTGGCTACTCCAGGCCATCATTGCTCCCCTCTGATCCCATCGGTCATCTAGAGGGATATCCAGAGGTGCCAGTATCACCCACCACTGAGTCAGTGAGGCAACGGGAGGGGCGGTCCAATGTGGCAGCTGCAGTCAACAGCCAGAGAGCTGGGGAAGGCGAGAGTGGGAGGAAGTGGGCCACTGCCCCTGCTGCCCAAGTTCACAGCCCTTCCTCGCTATCAAAATCCACAGTGCCCTCCCCTCCACCCATACCTACTGGTTACCCGCAGCCTCCAGAGGCTGACGTGGAGCAGGGAGGGCTGAGATTGGGGAATAGCAAAAGCAGCCTGGACTAGGCACATGCAAAGTGAATAGTGACCAAGCCACAAAAGGAGCAGACACCATCCCCAGCCTCCCCACCCCCACCCCCACACCCCCAAACCCCCACACCCCCACTCCTGCCCGCTCTAACCACCTCTGGATGATCCCGGCTGCTTTCTCATCACAGGGTAGCTCTGTCCAGGCTCTTCCCCTCCCAGGTCAGTGGGTCACAGAATCATAGAAACCCCCCCTGTTCTTGATGCTGCCTGATCTGGAGCAAAACTTGCTCCCTGGTAACCACCTGACAGAAGCCCCGTTCCCTAGGGCATCCTTTCCTGACAAGGTTGCTCCCCACCCACGCCACGAGCTGGCTTTGAGTGAGTGGCTGTACTCCTCAGCAGAAATGTTCGTGTTAGCGGTCTCATCCCAGGCAACCCAGGAGCGTGGTCTTCCCACTGCACACCTGTGAGGGGTGCCACACAGGCGGGGGAGCCACCTGTAGACCCCCCCCACCCCACCTGTAGGAGGGACAGAGCTAACTTTCCTTTGCCCCATGGCTGGCAGCTAGAGACTCTTGGTATCTGAAGCCTCCGCGGCTACGATTCTGGGCATGGGGGCCACCACCCCCCCCACACACACAACTGTCCCACATGGCCACACTGCTGTGTCTGCCTGCTGCTCCCTTCTGAGAGAGGCCCCTCGGTGCCGGTGCCAGTCAGGCATGAAGCCTCATTTTATTCTGCCCGGAGGGAATGGGCAGTTTCACAGAAAAGAATTCGCAGACAAATAAAGGTGACCTTTTAATGTTGAAAACGTTTTTTATTTCAGCCCTCGGTGCTGGCTCAGCTCTGTCTGATGTGGGTCACAGACATCCCTGCCTGGGCCAGCAGTACACAGCAGCCTGCTCCATTTCACCTGGCCCATGGCTGGTCACATCAGCAGAGAGGAGGTGCCTGGTGGAGGCATCTTTACTGAAGAGGTAGAAATGTCCCGGAAGGCAGGCGGGTGACGGTGTCTTCTCACTCAGCACCAGCACTGTCTCTTTTCCTTGTCTGGGACCTCCGACCTTCACCAGAGTCATGCTCCTAGATGTCTCACGACAGCTCTAAGTGTGTGGACCTGCCTGGAGGAGGTGGCAGCACCCTCCTCCCTGCGGCTTCCTCCGCCCTGGGCTCAGAGCAGAGGGCTTTACCAGATTTGCAGGCTGGGGTGACCCCAGCTTCTGCTCCGTGCTTTGTCCCCAACTTACAAGACAGCAAGCTCACGAGATTGTGAGCCCTTTGGGGGTCAAGGACCACTGTCTCTTTCCAATGCTAAATGCCTGGCATATAGCAGCAGATGCTCAGGAAATGCCAAAGACATCAAGTGGAATTAACCCAGCAGCTGGATTTTGCCCACTTGAAGCCAGGGCAAAGTGTGTTCCACAAGCTGCTGCTGGGCTCTTCGGGCAGCTTTTTTGCCTGGTTTTGTGACTGTCCAGAAGCCCTTTAGAAAAGTGAGTGCCAGAGACTAAGGAGCCATACTTGTCAAAATCGGGGAGGGTGACATCATCTGCAAAGGTTCCCAGATCTGCTGAGATCTGCGCATGCCCAACATCCCCTGCAAAGTATGGTGAATGAGGCCAAGAAGTTGTCCCAGGGCAGTGGCAAGCAACAGGCCGCAGAAATGGATGCTCACTCCCCAGAGAGAACATTCTCACCTAGCAGTTGGGACGCCAGGAGAGCTGGCAGAAGAAGGTCACTTAGGCGGGGATACAGGAATGAGTGAATTTGCCCGGCACAGTGGAAGAAGACAGCTCAAGCATGGGCATGGGCATGGGCATGGGCTATCAGCAGCTGCAGGAACAGGAGGGACCAGAGAGCCGCCTAGAGGTCAGGTTAGGTCAGCAGAGGTCAGCCACAGAGGGTCACAGAACCCAGAGCAGGGGAGCTGCTAACGAGACTAAGCCAGGAGACCTCGCCAGCTCTGAGTGGGGTGAGTCAAACCACCCATCAGAGGACCAAACCTCAGTAGACATGGGGCCCTGAGAGGCCTCCATGAAGGAGCAGGGGCCCTGGGTAACACCACAGAGGGCCCAATTAGAGGTCAGCATTAGGAGATGGAAAGGGCTTCAGTGGGTCCGGCTGTAACACTCAGGAAAGCCCACTTGGCCTGCAGGTCAGCAGAACAAGCTACAATCCGAAGCATGTGCTCACTGGAGCTGGGGGGTGATTGCCGCCTCCCATGTGTGTTCTTTTCAGTTCCCAAGATGCTTCAGCTCACTGCCTCACCTGGCCTGCCATACAGCCCCATTTGGGAGGAGGAAAACTGAGGCCTTATGGGGTCACATGAAGAGAGCAGTACTGTCAGGCTAGACCCAGGAAGCAGTTTCATCTCAGCCCTGGACATCGGGCTCGAAGCCCAACTCTTTGTCGGGGAGGGGGTCCCCAGGGCTGTCTGGTAGCCCATAGTACAGGTCTTCCTCCTCCTGCTCGGGTTCCTCCGCACTTGTCCCGACAGTCTCCTCCTTCACCCTCAGGGACCGCCGCTGCTTGCTGGGCAGAGCTACCTCCCGCACCTGCCCCTCCAGGACCATGTCCTCTGATGTGGGAGTGTCATCAATGAGGGCAAAGTCACTGAAGCGATCCAGTGGACCCCTGCTGGCCCACGGCACCTGTGGGTGTGGCTCATCTCTGTTGGGTGGGGACGGGTGGGGGCTACTGCCTTCACTGGAACCCATGTCCAGGTCATCTTGGAAGGAGGCCAGGGGTGCAGAGCCTGGGGAGCACCCTGGAGGGCTACAGAGGCAAAGAGAATGAGTGAAGGGTGGGCCCTGCATCACACTGTCTGGGTCCAGATCTCAGCCGCTAGCTGCAGTAACTTCGCGTATCTCTGGGCCTCCTCCCCCCGCTCCCCGGAAATTGGGGGCAATGTGAGTCCTCTCCTCTCCCATGTGGTTGCTTCGGGGATGTGCAGCAGCTAAAATGTTCACAGCTCTTCACACAGTGCCTAGCACTGAGTAGGTGCCCTAGCGACAGGGATGTTATTTAAAAAAACAAAAACTAAAACAAAAACAAAACAGCCAGCCAGGTGGTCCGTCCACAACTGCAGGCGTTCGGGATCCTTCTCTGGCCCCTCACAGGCCATTTCCCACTGCAGGTCCCTCTGTGTCCTTCTTTGTCCCTCACCCCCCACCCCCAGCAGCGGACTGGGAGCTCCAGGAGACTGGAGGCCAGTTGAGGCCTGAGAATGAGCTGGTGTCCAGTAAGGATGTGGATGAGTGGAGCAATCAGAGACTTGACTGGAAAAGAAACAGGAACTGGGCTGTGGCGGGGACTAAAACTTGCCCGAGACACCAAGCAGGTCAACAGCCCAGCCAGGATTTAAATCCAAGCCCTCTGGCTCCTGGCCTCCTGCTGCTCTGCTCACGACAAGCATTTGGAAAAGGAAGAACTGTGTGCTGGGCACTTAAAGCATTGTCCCCGTGTGATGAAAATGACTATTCCCCTGGGAGAAACTGCTCAGGAGAGTCCAAAACCGGACGCTTACAGAGCCAAGGAGTCGGGATCAGCACCTAGGTCCTTTAGAGCCCCAGGCCAGCCTCATTTGCCTGTGACTCTCCCGCCCTCTGCTGCTCACTCCCAAGTGTCCCTGCACACACACACACACACACACACACACACACACACACACACACACACACACACTGCACTTGCCCTAGACCTGGGCAGTACTCCCACTCTTATGCTGCCCACTCACCTGCTCTGAGTATGGGGTCTTTCTCCCTCAGTCTCATCCACGCCCCTGTGGACGACCACCGTAGCTTCCATCCAGGCCTGAGCAGTCTGAGGAGGCTCGCCTTTCCCACCACTGCTGACTCCTGTCTTCAGCTCAGGGGCCAGCAGGGGCCTGGGATCCTCACTGTAACCCAGGACCTTCATTTGGATGTGAGTGAAGTCTGGAAGGCTCTGGTCGTAGGCGGCTTCTTCCCACAGCCTGACGTACGGGGCTTGGGGACTGGGTCCAACAGAGGGTGGGAGAGAAGCGGGCAGGTAGACATGAGTTCTCTCCCCATGGCCCCCTGTCTGCTCTGGGGGGATGGGCCCACTGACTTCAAAAGAAACACTTCAGGGGCGTCACTGTGCCCAGGCCCACAGATGGTGAAGATGAGGCCCAACTAGGTGTACAGAGCTCTGACCTAATCCCAAGTCAACATCACATAATGTCTTGAAAGGTATCCACAGCATGTAATGGTAAGACAGAGAGGACTTGGGACTAGAGAGATGCACTAACTACTCTTCCAGAGGACCCGGGTTCAATTCCCAGCACCTGCATGGCAGCTCACAACTGTCTATAAATCCAGTTCCAGAGGATTCGACACCCTCACACAGACATACATGCAGGCAAAACACCAATGCACATTAGATAGATAGACAGACAGACAGACAGACAGACAGATAGATAGATAGATAGATAGATAGATGGAGAGGGCTCAGCATGGAGGCTTGCTGGAGTACACCTCATTGCAGCAGTCACAGCTTCGACGCTTAGTAGAGCGAATCACAGCTGCTTGGAGGCTCCTTGCCCGCAAGGCTGGGGAGTGATTGTCTACACCCCCTGTCATTCCAGGAGGTGCTGCGAGGGAACTGAGGCACAGCAAACTGACTTATACATAGAGTGATACAGCCCCTGCTTGGTGGATCAGGGCCACAGTGATCTGCTCCCTGCACTGTGTTTCAGGGACTAGGCCTTTGTCTAAGGTCACATGACTGGGAGGTGACAAGACAAAGGAAGGGACCCCAGGTGGCCTGAGCTAAGTTGTTGGCCCTGAGATTTTTTTGGGGGGTGGCCCCACCCACTGGGGTGTGTTCACTGTTTCCCACTGGGGCGCTTCACCCTGTGGTGTCAGGAATGGAAAATGCCAGCATTACAAACTCCCCAAGCAAAGCGGAGTGGCTCTGAGCCCCCATAGCTCCAGGGCCTGTGGCCGGCCTTTGGAGTCACAGCTCAGGGGACTAACCAAAGCCAAAGGGTTCTTGGCTCTGCCCCAAGCCAGAAGCAGGGCTTGACACCTCCATGGCCAAGTCAGGCCAGGATTCAGACCTGTCTCCAGCCCTGTCTCCCCACGAGAGATCTGAAGTTTGTGTTTCTCTGAGCCTCAGCGTCTACATCTAGAAAATGGGAATGACGATGTTAAGATGCACAAAACTGAGAGTTAGAAATGACCTGTGATTTCTCAGAAAACAGGAGGCAAAGAAGAAGCTGGACGGGATAAGACAGAGTCAGACACCCAGCCCAGCTATCCTGGTCTGCTCCCTCCTTACCTCTTCCCTTGTTTCCCTTCTCCCCACTTTTGACAGGAGGCTAGACCGCGGGCCCATTCTCCCTGCACTTACCTCTTCACCTCCGAAAGCCTGTTCTCCAGCAGGCTCAGGGTCTTTGGGGACAAGATGCCTTGAAAGTCAGAGTCTGCCGGCACAAAGCTGATCTGCAAGGAGGGAGGATATGGTCTTTGCAATTGACCAGGGATAGAGCTGGCTGTCGCCACACACCCTGGCTGCTGGGCCCAAAACCTCTGCAAACTTCTCTGCAGACTGTAGGAGAGGAGGACCCGACAGGTCCTCTGCTTGATGAGGGAGTTTCTGTGTGTGGCTCAGCCCCAGTGGGTAGACAGATCTAGGTTCCTGTCCACACCATGTTCTCCCTTTACCGAGAACCCACCCTGTGCAGACACCATCTGGGCACCGGGGGGCAGCAGTGGGTAAGAGAGATGCCTGCTCTGGAACCCAGGACCAATTCCTACAAGGGGTGCTGTATCGGCACCTGTCGAGTGAGTGATCAGCCAGTCACTGACTCGTGCTTCACAGGACACAGCTGTGGTGGAGAGTCAGAGGCACAGATGGCTGTGGGTGTGCCCACAACAAGCAGCCTAGCTACAGGGGTGGCCACTGGGGTTGGGAAGGAAGGCCATGAAGGAGCAAGCCAGGTGAGGCAGAAAGAGGCCTGCCCTTGGGGTCCTGGAGACAGGTGGGCATCTCTTCACTACCAGGTCCTTGCTGTAGGTCCCGGGAGCCATCCATCCTTCCAGAGCCTCTTTGAACTCTTGTGGTTAATGAGAGACGCCTCCAAGAGACACCTGCTCAGAGAAGCACTGTGTACCACAACCAGGAGGTGCCCCAGGGTCCGCTGATGGGTATAGACAACAAAATACAGGGACGTACACAGTGGCGTGCCTGTCGGCCTTGAGACGGAAGTTCTGATGCATGTTACAGCAAAGGTGAGCACTGAAGCCACGATGCTGAGTGACACACGCCAGATTGGGGGGTGGGGGCGGAGACAAACACTCTAAGACTCCACTTCCCTGTGTACCAAGTTGTGAAGGTCAGAGAGCAGGCTGGCAGCTCCCCAAGACGAGTGAGAGTGGTAATGGGTTAGAACTGTTGCTTGGTGGGTGTCAATCTTTCATCTCCTAGTCTGGAAAGAGTTCTGGAAATGGGCTGACCACACTGAGAATGGACCGGAGGCCTCAGAACTGCATGCTTACCCGTGGTTAAATCGGTGGATCCTGTGCTTATATGTTGTATGGGGTTTGTAAAGGCCTGTGTCCCAGCAGAGCTGTGAGGACTCCCTGAGCCAATACAGACGACTCTCTCAGCATGGTACCAGGATACACTGCTTCTCAGTAAATCACAACCTGGCCCAATGAAGACCAAGCCAGTGGACACACAAGTCTGAACATTTTTCATGCAACACCTGATGACCCCCCCTGCTGAACTGCTCCAGATTCACAAACAACACTTTGTCCCTTTCCACAGAGTACAGTGAGGGAGGCACTCTCCGCACCAGCAAAGTTTCATGATGATGGAAAGAAGGGGGTGATGGGTAGAGGAGCTCTTACATTCCTGAGGAGGCACCTCCACCTTCCATCTGCACTAAGGATGCTCTGTGGCCAGCTGGTTCCATACTTTTTAAAATTTACCTCTTTTAGCCAGGCGGTGCTGGCGCACGCCTTTAATCCCAGCACTCGGGAGGCAGAGGCAGGTGGATCTCTGTGAGTTCGAGGCCAGCCTGGGCTACAGAGTGAGTTCCAGGAAAGGCACCAAAGCTACACAGAGAAACCCTGTCTGGAAAACCAAGACAAAACACAAATAAAAAAACAAAAACAAGATTTGCGTCTTTTTCCTCACTATCTCCTGGCCCAGGTATCATTCATCATCATCATCATCATCTACTCTATCACCATCATCACTACCATGCCCATTTCCATCATTACCATCATCACTATTGCTATCACCACCATCATCATCATCATCATCTACTCTATCACCATCATCACTACCATGCGCATCTCCATCATCACCATCATCACTATTGCTATCACCATCATCACTACCATGCGCATCTCCATCATCACCATCATCACTATTGCCACCACCACCATCATCATCATCATTGCCATCCTATCAGCACCACCACCACAAACATTACCATCATCACCATCACTATCACAATCAACATTGCCATCACCACCACTACAGTCACGACTATCATCACTGACATGAGAAGCTTGGAGGAGACGGAGAGGAAGCAACATCCTAGAACACAGATTCTTTTTCTAAAGAAAGAGAAAGGGGTCCAGCGGTGGCGGCCCACGCCTTTAATCCCAGCACTCGGGAGGCACAGCCAGGCGCATCTCTGTGAGTTCGAGGCCAGCCTGGTCTACAGAGCGAGATCCAGGAAAGGTTCAAAGTTACACGAAGAAACCTTGTCTCGAAAAAACCAGAAGAAGAAGAGGAGGAGGAGGAGGAGGAGGAGGAGGAGGAGGAGGAGGAAAAAGAAAGGATATGCAGAATTGATGATCGGGGCAGGACCAGACTTGGAAACCCTCAAAACATCAGACTAAGGATTTCAACCTTTATCCATGACCACAGGCACTCCAGAGGAATTTTTAGCAGGAGAGTACCTATCAGATCTGAGTTCAGGCTGAACACTGACCAGTCCCTAGAGGGAGGAAGCATAGAGAGGGAAGCCCACAAAGGGGACAGGTCCTTCAACTACCAGGTCCTGGTTTTGAGCTGCAGCAGAGCAGACAGAAGTAAGGAGCAGAGGATGCAGAGCCAAGACTCCGCTCTCCCTGCCACTCCACCCTTCTTCCCCACTCCCCGTTCCATCTCAGCTTCTAAGCTCGGCGTCTTCAGAAGCCCCCACACTAGATTTGCCTGGTTCAGTTCTCCCACTTGACCCATGTTTGAGGCCCAGCTGAGTACCAAATCTAACCAGGTTTGCATGCCAACCCCAACAGAACAGCCATGGTGAAGAGTGGGAGCCCTTTCTTCCTTCTGTTCCAATTGTGACAGGTCTAACAGCCGGAGTCCTCCCTGCTTCCCCTGCAGACCTCTGAGTGCTGGTAAGATCCTCTCAAGAACAACGTCTCCGCACCTGCTTCACACAGGCACGGTCACCAGGCCCCCTCCCATCCCCACAGCACCATTTGCTCCCTTCCATTTGGCCATTCAAGGCACAGTGTGGGGGGGGGGGAGGCTCTGCCAAGGTCACAGACTTGGCACAGGGCACAGGGACTTGAACTGGGGTTTGAGGGGCACTAGGAGGTGTGGGTTTCCACCAGCCATACCACCTCCCCACACAGGAGCACGTGAACCTTTAACAGTTACCCATTAATCCTCAGTCCTGTTCCCCGCACCAGCCATCCTGCTGTTACTCAGTCCCTCCACCAGCTGCCCCTGGAAAGGATGCTTTCTTCCCAACATCCCCACCCTCCCTGGGTGGTGACATGGTGGCTCTGACCTCAAGGCCCTCTTCTCCCAGTGACCTCTGCTCAGGACATTGAGCACATAGAGGAGAGTTGACTGTAAACGGCTTTGGAAATGGCTGCAAACCAGTTGAGACTGCCCAAGCTCCAGATATAAGTGACAGGTCCGGGCTGGCCACAGAGGGGGTAGGGCTGGGAGAGGCTGGGGCCTGGCCCCAACTCTTAGAACTCCTTCTGGGTACTCCCCACCAAGGTGGGGAGGAGTGGAGGAAGCTGGGAGGACAGGGCTCTAGGTCTCCAGGCTCAGTGGGGCCTCAGATGTCCGTCCCTCTTTCCTACTCACACTGTACAGCTCAGGAAACTGAGGCTTAGAGAACAAAGTGGCTCAGTCTTCCAAGCGCTTAGAAACAGAACACAAGCTAGACCCTTGTTGCTCTCCCTGTGTCCCCGAGTCTATCTCTACCTAGCGTGTGACATTGGAAAATTCACCCCACCTCTCCGGACACTGAAGGTTTACAACGCTGACGTGTTCACCCCTCGGGGCTGTGTGGGGATCAAGGAGAGTAACAGCAGCAGCAGCAGCAGCGGTTTACCTAAACCCAACAGCACGGTTGCAAATGTGCTCCTTCCCATCTTCCACACGTCATACTTGGGTTAGCACGGGGCTATGCAGAGCCAAGACTGGGGAGCCAATTTACAGATGAAAATACTGTGACTCGGAAAGACCCAGCACGACAGAGCTCTCAGCAGCTGGGGGCATAGAATGGAGCATCCTGGATGGAGCACCCGTTATGGAACACCCAGGGCACAACGCTACTCTAAAGCAAGCTCCCACCTGAGATCTGTGCTTCAGGATCTGTGAGATGAAAGGGAACCGCAGAAAACACAGAGCACTTGGGATAGGGTCGGGGTGAGCTATGGGTTCAAGTTTGGAAGATAGTAAAGGCTGACCAACTTCTGCTCGGACACAGGGACAGTGCATAGATCCCATTGTGCCCCCCCCCCCGTTCTGACTGGCTCAAGGATCAGATGTGAGGGCCTTCTGACCAGCCACAATGAGAGATGGATGGATAAAGGAAAAGGATACCCCCCAGAACAGAGAGAATATGGGGAGTTCAAATGGGGAGAACACAGCCGTTGGAGGCAAGGGGTTGGTACCTGAGGTAATGAGAGCCATGTGTCCTCCTGCCCCCTCCCCACCCCCTGCCACCCCCTACCTTAGGATAGCATTGGCACATGCTCCAGATGACGCCCCCGATCACCATGATGCTGCCCATAGCGTAGAAGGTGCCATAGACCTGGGGTCGGTCGTGGCTCATAAGGAACGTGCCGAGGGATAGGAGGAAAAGGCCCAGCACTATGAAGCCGATTCGGAAGGTCTTCTCATCAGTCATGGTGGCTAACTAGCCCTGATAGCTGACCAGCTCTCCGGTAGAAGGCTGCCCACAATCCTAGGCAAACGTTGAGCAGGCTCTCAGCGAGGGATGATACACTGCTTGATGGAGGAGGTGTGAAGCTCAGAGCAAGGAAGGGTCTCCACAGGTCCAGCTCCCAGCCCTGGGCCCCGCAGTTCTGCAGGGCAGGAGGTAACACGCTCCAGTGGGCCCAAGTGCCCAGCCATCTACCGTCCCTTGGGCCACTCTCCTTCCCTCTGGGCCCAGCTATTGGGAGCTTGTGAATCTGAGCAGGGGACAGAGGCAGGGGAGGGCTGGGGGAGGTCACAGGGGCTGGGCCAGCCATGGTTTTGACGTCATCTCATTTGCCTACGGTGGAACTGAGCCCAGACAGGGTTTGCACCTCCCAGCTCTGGGAAGCAGGGGTGGGGCCATGGCGGCGTCCAGAACCCACAGCCTGACAATTTAGACACCTAAAGACACCCTTTCTCAAGGACACCTGATCATCTAGGCTCAACAGGAATAGCTGTACCCACTAAACGGTCACCATCCTAGATATGTCTCTGTTCGGTTCATTTAAGGAGACGGGGGCCACTTCACAAATGAGGACAAGTAACCTGCCCAAAGTCGTAAATAGTGACAGAGCAGCCAGGACTGGAGCCCAGAGGCTGCCCGTCCCACTAACATGAGCCTTGTCAAGCACAGCGTAGGTGGGAACACGGGCAGGCTCCGGGATCAAAGCCCACGATGTCCTTGGATCTACGTCTCCAGCTGTGTGGTGCACGACCTTGCTGGCCCTTTCTCACTTTCCTCCTCTATAAAGCAGGGGGTAATAGTAGCCTTTCCCAGAACCAGAGCTGGCTCCAGGCCTTACCTCCCACACTCCTTCCATATTTCACAATGGGCTCAGCCCTGCTTTTCATGGGGGGCCAGGACGGGGTGCTGGTGGCCCTGCAGTCTGACTGACTGACTGATTAGCGTCTACTTCATCTGTCCTGGTCCCACACCTGGAAAGCCGTTTTTGTCCTAAGAATGACAGTCTAGGGGGGGACTTCTAGTTCTGATATGGCTGATGGGGAAGTCGGGTGGAGTTCTTGTGGGTGACCTGTGCAACGTCAGGGCTCCCAGTGAGCTAGCTCCCTGAATCCCTGTACTCAGGGACTTTCCTGTATGGGCTGTGCGCGTCCCTTGTGCCCTGTTGTGCTCACACATGCACCTCTCCTAGCATGCCTGGCCATGGGGTCCCTTCCCAGAGAGGGTTCTGCAATCTCCGTCTCCGGCCATCACTGCCCCTCAGCTCTGTCCAGCTGCACTTCACGGTTTGTAGAGTGCCGCAGGAACTGGGAACAAGCACCCTGAGAAAACTGCCCAGGGGCCAAGTCTCTGGTCACCTCCAGTCCCAGGGTGAACTTAAGCAGTGGACTTGAGCTTTGTCGCCCGTGGATTGTAAGTGGCCATTAGGCCATCTCCCAGTCTGGCACCGGGAAGTGACGTGTAGTGGAAGGAAAGTCATTTGAGATTGTAACCGGCCAGGGACCTCTAGGGAGACATTAGAATCATCTCAAAGAGACTTGGAGACAAGAGAGGCCATGAATGCAGAGCAACCTAGCTGGTACCCATTGTAAAAAGGATGCGGCCCAGCGAGACCTAGGAGCCAGAGGATGGATCTCTGCCACATCCACAGGAGCTTCTCGTGCCCCCTGGTGGCCTTGAAGTGTGTCTGGCCTGGCGCTGTCACATCCTGTAGTCACTGCCTCTGTACATCCAGCCCCAGGAACATGTGGCAGAGTTGGCATGCCCACTTCTCAGATAAGGAAACCAAGTCTGAGGAGTGAAAGAGATTGGCCAAGATCTTCCCCAATACCACCAGAGCTCAAGTAAATGGATCTGGCTTTTCGACATTCTGGAGAGGTCTGGGCATTCTCCTCTCTGCTGATTTTTTTCTTTCTTTGCCCTTGTAGTAGCAATGAGTAAGAAACTCTGAGATAAGTCAGTAAAGAGGCAATTTCACAGAGTTTATCTGATAATCAAAGGGATTTATTTTTGGTTAATTCACAAAAGCATAAGGGAGTTGGTTGCAGGATTCCGGAGGGGTGAAGTGCGGTCCAACGCGCTTCTCTGGAAAACTCTGCCTTGATCCAAAGCACCAGCATCCAGCATCCAAGACCACAAGGTAGCCAGAGAGCAAGCACATACACATTCCAGGTCTTAAGGGGTCCCCTCTCGGCCATGCTGGGGGAGGGAGGGCCGGTACGTAGCAGTTACCTCTGGAGTCAAGAATTAAATGGCCATAGGGCGGGTCCCTCCCAGGACTAGCTGGGGCAGCACAAACCAGACTCCACAGGAAAAAGGGGAAAATACAAAAGGAAAAAAAACCTCAAAGCTGTGTGGGAAGGGATGGAAAGTGGAGATGGTGGTTATGGGAGGAGGTGGGGAAGGGAAGGTGCATATATTCAAAATACATTGTATGAAATTCCCAAAGGATTAATAAAAACATTTTAAAAGGATCAAATGTCCAGTGCTGTTGTTGTCCTGGATAGACACAGTGCCAAGGCAATTCCTAATGACTTGTTGCCGTGCCGGGAGATGGGTGTGTCTCTCAGCCTCATTAAAGGGGTTCCTCTTTGTAGTGGACGCTGGGCGGGCTGCTCAGTGTGCTGAGGGTGAGAGTCTGTAGAATATCTGTAGTGCCCTGGGTGGATTGTGTTTGACCCAACCCTCCCCTTCCCCCTCCCCCCAGGACTCAGGGATCTTCACCCAGGGATGGGTAAGGGGATTGTGGGGTCTGAAGGTGGTAGATGGCGTGACACAGATTTTTCTGGACAGGGCTGGGCAGTTGCACCTATGAGCTGGTGGCTCTTGTGGCATCACTAACAGGGTCTGCACTGGCTCTGGCTGGGCAGGGTCCCCGCATGGAGTGGGGAGGGTGGGAGTGGGTTTGACCACTGGCTGGGGAGCTGTTGGCATCTGGCTGCTGGGAGGGGGAAGAGTCAATTTTCTTTGGTGATCCCTAGTGGAGCAACCATACTTGGGGTTCCCCAGCTCCACTAAGGACTGTGGCCTGGACTCCACGGGGAAAGGAAAAGGGAAGAAAGAAGGCTCGGCGTTGGGTGGATGGGGAGGTGGCAGAGTGGCCAGCATGAGATTTTGTGTGTGCTCAGGGCATAGTGCGTGAAATTCTCAAAGAATGTATAAAAATGCTAACCGAATGGACAAAAAAGAATTAAATGGGAGTGTGTGCTCAGAGCAATGATGCCCTCACACGCCTGAGGCCACTCTGGCTTTGACCTGCTTCCTTGCACCAAGAGGTAGGAGCGGCAGGAGCAGTCTAGGAGTCAGTGGTCTTCCAGCAGAGGGCGCCTGTGAAGTGCTGTCTTCTGGAAGGAGTGTCCAACCTGTGGCCAGTAACTACAAACGCAGCCAAACACAAAACTGTAAATTTTCGCTGGGCAGTGGTGGCGCACGTCTTTAATCCCACCACTCCAGAGGCAGAGGCAGGCAAATCTCCATGAGTTCTAGGCCAGCCTGGTCTACAGAGCGAGCTCCAGGACAGGCACCAAAGCTACACAGAGAAACCTTGTCTTTTCCATGCTGTTCTTTTGTTGTTGGTGGTGGTTTTTTTGTTTTGTTTTGTTTTGTTTTGTTTTGTTTTGTTTTGTTTTGTTTTGTTTTGTTTGTAACTCAGTTGTCCTGTTCTCAGTGTGAACTTTGTGAATAACAGCATTGTATTGCAAGTCAAAAAGTTGAACATGCCTGAAGGAACTGGGAATCCTGGGAGTGAGCTGCCCCACAAGAGACTCAAAGACAGAACACACTGAGCACCAGTAGAAACCTAAGCCTATGAAGACAAGGCTCGTCTCGTCCTGAGGAGCCAGAGTCTGTCAGTAACAGATATCAACCATGTTCTCACCTCCTCTGCTTAGTGCCGTACAGACACTCTGAGGGTCGAGACAATGCTGACAGGCACAGCTTTGGGGATGGAGCTGCATCGTCTCCAGAACGATGGAATGAAGACTGGTCAGCATGATTGTGATTCACCATGTACAGCCCACCAATGCTACACACAGCTGCCTCCAGGTCCTTCTCGGGCCACCGCCCCCACCTCTTGTCTCCCAAATCCTGTTAAACTCTATGTCTTAGTTAGGGTTGCTATTGCTGTGAAGAGACACCATGACCAGGACAACTCTTGAAAGGAAAACATTTCATTGGGGCTGTCTTGCATTTTCAGAGGTTTAGTCCATTATCTTCACGTCGGCGTGCAGCCCGACATGGTGCTGGAGAAGGAGCTGAGAATTCTGCATCTTGATTCTCAGGCAGCGGAAGCAACTGTGAGCCACACTGACCATAGCTTGAACATATGAAACCTCAAAGTCCACGCCCCCACAGTGACACACTTCCTCCAATGTCAAACCTCCAAATAGTGCCACTCCCTATGGGTCAAGCATCCAAACACATGAGTCTATGGGGGCCATTCTATTCAAACCACACATTCCACTCCCAGGCCCCCATAGACTTGTAGCCATAACATATTGCAAAATGCATTTAGTCCAACTTCAAAAGTCTCCATAGTCTATCACAGTCTCTTCTGTTTAAAGGTACAAAGTCTCTTCTGAGACTCATGAAACCTCTTAACTGTAATCCCCTGTAAAATCAAAATCAAAAAGCAGATCACATACTTCCAACATATATTGCATTTTCAGAGGTTTAGTCCATTATCTTTACATCGGCGTGCAGCCCGACATGGTGCTGGAGAAGGAGCTGAGAATTCTGCATCTTGATTCTCAGGCAGCAGAAGCAACTGTGAGCCACAGGACACAGGACATAAATTGTCATTCAAAAAGGTAGAAAAGGGATAATAGTGAGGAAATACTGGATCAAAGCAAGACCAAAACCAGCTGGGCAACTCCAAACTGCATCTCCATGTCTGATGTCAAAACTCTCTTCAGATCTCCAACTCCATTCAGCTTTGTTGACTGCAACACACTTCTCTCTCTTGAGCT